GTTCTGGAAGGCTCCTGGGCTGGGGGACAGAGCGGGGCGGGGGGCGGGGCCGGGACCCTGCCCCTTGCCCGGAACCGCGAAAGGGTTCTCGGACTGAATTCTTTCCCAGTGGGACGTTAACCCCGCTTGCCTTTTGTCCTTTGGTGACCACAATGTCTCGATCCCTGGGGGGCACGGAGTAACCCAGGTCGGGTTGAGGACATTGGAAGGCGGTTGGCCTCGGGATTCTCTTAGCTGCTGGCTTTGGTGTTTGGAAGAACCTCACCTTGTGGGTCTTGGAAGGTAGGAAATAACTGATCGAACTTAGCCATGCTGCAAGTGGAGGTGGGGTCCAGGCAGCAGCAACCTGGGCCCCTCCTTTACCTACCTGGAGCCAAGAGTCTTCCGTCTCTGGGAAGATGCCTGTGGACCTCTCCAGGCTTTTCCTCTCACCTTTCCCAAATATACCCCTCCCGCCTTCCCCCCACCATGATGTAATTTTATTTTCCGGGGAGAAAAAGCAGCAGTGAGCTCAGCATGCAAATATAGACAACATGCAAAGCCACCTCAGCTGTCTAGCTCTGCCCCTTGCCCAGGCGGTAGGTCTCACTTCCCCTCTGCCCGGGGGACTTTCCTTCCCCCAGACTCTCAGCCAGACTGAGAGAGGGTAGGAATTGGGGAAGCATGTGGTCTCACCCTCATCTCCAGCCTAAGGGGTCTCAGCACTCTCAGCCTAAGTGCCTGGTGCCCCTTGGGAGCAACCTGGTCTCGCCTCCATACCAGCCTGGCAGAGATCCCTTTGGAAGCCTCAGGGGAGCTCCTCCATTCTTGGGGCTCCACTGCCCCTAGAAGAGGCTTGGGCTCCTGTGGCTTTCGGTTTCACGGTCCTTCTCTGCTCCTCACCATCCGTTTCACCCTCTCCTGCCTCCTGTGCCCTGCCACTGCCTCTTTGGTGGTGACAGCACCCTGGCACGTGCGTGGCCTTTGTGTGTGTCCCATTTGCTCTGTGTCATATGGCCAAAACCCATGTCGCTGACCCATCTCTGAGGCTCAGAGCAGCCACACGACTGTTCCACGGTCATGGAGCTCCCTGCGAGTCAAGGCTGGCCCTCTAGCCGCGTGCTCCCCTTGGGTAAGTCGAGCCTTGGTGTCCTTGTGGCTGAGATACAGGGTCTTCTGAAATGTCGAAATAGGAAGTCTGTAGGAACTGGCACAGACGAGCGTGTAAAAAACAGGAGCTACAGTTTGCAGGCCTGCCATTGCGCTCTGCTGGACAGCAAGCCCCGCCATGGACTGACAGCTGCCTAGTGCCCACACCACTGACGAAGCCATCGGAAGGGTACCTGTGGATGGGCTGCGGAGAGTGAAACTTCTCTAACCTCAGGGCTCTTCTTCCCATGCTTACAAATCCTCTCCGTCTTGGGGCCAGCAAGTGGCGTGGTGGTTAAGGCGCTGGACACTTCCACATAGCCAACCATGGTTCGAGTCCCAGACCTGGTGACTTGCTTTCTCACTTCCTCTCTCTCTGCTTCTCTCTGGTCAAAGTAAATAAATGAATGAATAAATAAAATTAAATAGATAATTTTTTAAAAACGAATCTTGTCTCCCAGACACACCTTCATGTTTGATCTACACACACCAAAAATAACATGATATCTGGAGACCAGCAGATGGCATAATGGTTACGTTGTTGGACTCCCACACAGTTGATGGCAGTTCAAGTCCCAGACTGGGGGCTTAAAACTCATGCCAAACCCCTTAGGCTGGAGATGGGGGTGAAACCAGATGCTTCCCCAAATCCTACCCTCTTTCCGTCTGGCTGGGAACCTGGGGGAAGGAAAATTCCAGAGGTAGAGGGGGTGTATGTGCATGCGGGCCCAAAATACCAAGAGGAGAATGGAGAAGGGATTGTGGTGTGGCCACCCCACCCTCCACAAGGGGTAATTTCTTGCTTTCTGCCTCTTTGTCTCTCTCTGTCTCTCTAGCAAACACATGCACTCTGTAGCAAAAAAAATCTCTTTAAAAAATAAATAAACACACACACACACACACACACACGCTGTCTGTTATTTATGAGCTCGTTCAGTTGTTTGGTTCTCCTGCCCCACCCTACTTCAGACAAACTCCCTCGATTTACCCAAGCCTGAGCTGGTCCTGGAGAGAGAGGCTGTCCTTCCTGCAAAGAACCCCAGCAGGCCCAGGTGTGGGGATCCCCACCACACAAATGCAGCATCCCCTCTCCGTTTCCGTGACTGGCACTTCAGTTATCACACAGCTGGTGCTGAGTGGGTTTCCCTGCCTCGGGCCTGCCCACCATCTCTGCTCCCACTGCCCAACCTGACGTGCTGCAGCGTGTCTGCCCTCCCCTGCTTGTGGGATGGACCTCCAGCACCTCTCCAGCCAGCGCTGGGCTGCTACCCAGCGCGTGGCTGCAACTCAAATTGCTCTTCTTTTTCAAATCAATTCACTTTTATTCTTTTTTCGCTTTTACTTTATTTTTAAAAGTTTGTTCTGAGAGAGAGAACCCTCGTGGGGTCTTCACTGCCTGGCCCGTTTCCTCTTCTTGTCTCTGGTCTCTGTGCCTCCAGTGTGACAAACCCATCCTGCCAGTGATTCTGATATGTCTGCGAACCCAAATGTTCCCTCCTTCGCCTCTAACCAATTCCTATTCTTCGGTGTAAGACCTAGAAAAGGCTCACTTCCCGTATGAATGTGTCAAGCCTGCCCCGTCTCTCTTTTTCTGAATCTGTTCTGTCCTTTCATTTGTCTGCTAGGGACGACGTCTCTGTGTGTGTGTTGGGGGGGGGGGGCCCTGTGGAGACAGAGAAAAAAAAAACGAATCTTGTCTCCCAGACACACCTTCATGTTTGATCTACACACACCAAAAATAACATGATATCTGGAGACCAGCAGATGGCATAATGGTTACGTTGTTGGACTCCCACACAGTTGATGGCAGTTCAAGTCCCAGACTGGGGGCTTAAAACTCATGCCAAACCCCTTAGGCTGGAGATGGGGGTGAAACCAGATGCTTCCCCAAATCCTACCCTCTTTCCGTCTGGCTGGGAACCTGGGGGAAGGAAAATTCCAGAGGTAGAGGGGGTGTATGTGCATGCGGGCCCAAAATACCAAGAGGAGAATGGAGAAGGGATTGTGGTGTGGCCACCCCACCCTCCACAAGGGGTAATTTCTTGCTTTCTGCCTCTTTGTCTCTCTCTGTCTCTCTAGCAAACACATGCACTCTGTAGCAAAAAAAATCTCTTTAAAAAATAAATAAACACACACACACACACACACACACGCTGTCTGTTATTTATGAGCTCGTTCAGTTGTTTGGTTCTCCTGCCCCACCCTACTTCAGACAAACTCCCTCGATTTACCCAAGCCTGAGCTGGTCCTGGAGAGAGAGGCTGTCCTTCCTGCAAAGAACCCCAGCAGGCCCAGGTGTGGGGATCCCCACCACACAAATGCAGCATCCCCTCTCCGTTTCCGTGACTGGCACTTCAGTTATCACACAGCTGGTGCTGAGTGGGTTTCCCTGCCTCGGGCCTGCCCACCATCTCTGCTCCCACTGCCCAACCTGACGTGCTGCAGCGTGTCTGCCCTCCCCTGCTTGTGGGATGGACCTCCAGCACCTCTCCAGCCAGCGCTGGGCTGCTACCCAGCGCGTGGCTGCAACTCAAATTGCTCTTCTTTTTCAAATCAATTCACTTTTATTCTTTTTTCGCTTTTACTTTATTTTTAAAAGTTTGTTCTGAGAGAGAGAACCCTCGTGGGGTCTTCACTGCCTGGCCCGTTTCCTCTTCTTGTCTCTGGTCTCTGTGCCTCCAGTGTGACAAACCCATCCTGCCAGTGATTCTGATATGTCTGCGAACCCAAATGTTCCCTCCTTCGCCTCTAACCAATTCCTATTCTTCGGTGTAAGACCTAGAAAAGGCTCACTTCCCGTATGAATGTGTCAAGCCTGCCCCGTCTCTCTTTTTCTGAATCTGTTCTGTCCTTTCATTTGTCTGCTAGGGACGACGTCTCTGTGTGTGTGTTGGGGGGGGGGGGGCCCGGGGGGGGGGGGGGCCCTGTGGAGACAGAGAAAAAGCCCAGACTCCTGCTTTCAAGGGGCTCACAGTCTATAAGGAAGACAGCATACGAGGGAAGATGTGCACCGTGTCCTAGGACAGAGGGGTCCAAGAGAGCCCGCGGGGGAGCCCAAGGAAGGGCAGCCTCTGAGAAGGCCTCGCTGAGGAGCCGTAACTGCGCCTCAGTCTCGCTGCTCGATTCAGAGCTGCAGGGAGGGTGCTACTGAGCAGCACATAATCACTTAATTACATATTGCTTTGTCTTTTTCTTCAATTGTTTAGTGTGCTTGTCTTGACTTCTCAGTGAGGATAATCAGCTCAAGAACAGAGACAGGCCTGGCACTCTGTTCTCGCGGAGCCTGACCCGTGCTGGACAAACACCATGCGTTCCGCAAAGGCTTGTTGACTTGAAGCAGATAAATCGCCCAGGCTTCTCTAGGGTGACTGCCTGGAGGGAGCCCCCACCCCTTCTGCCCCAGCGCCCTAGCTGATTGCTCACAAGGCACCCACACCTCACCCCCCATCTGGCCACCTCCCTCCTGCCATCGGGGTGAGACTTCATTGGCAGACACCTGCTCTCGCTGCCCCAGATCTCTTTATTGAGGCCTCTCATTTGACCCAAATACATTAACAAGAGATTGCTGAGATACAGCCCCAAACACGGGACCCTCCCTTCCTCTGGCCAGGGACAGGACGGCCGGCACGGGGATCTGAGAGAGTGGGGCAAGGCTGTGCACAGGTGGGGGGACAGAAGAGACAGGGGCCCCTGGACATGCCAGGACGAGGGTCACCAGAAAGTATGGGGGTGACAGAAAAACGAATAGGTTCAGGTAGGCTACAGGATGAGAAACAAGTTGGATGAGACGACTGGGCGGGCGGCTAGGGAAAGCAGCCCCATCCCTCATCCGACGAAGGGGAGTCAGAGTCAGCACCCAGCAGAAAGACCCCCGTTGCCCTACGGCAGAGAATGACCCGGTGTCACTGGAGGACCTCGGGAAGGACAGGGAAGGTAGGCGGGAGCATGAGAAGAGCAGGTGGGGCTGGGCTGGGAGACACTGCCACAGCAACTAGTCGTCGTCGTCGTCGTCATCATCATCGTCCTCGTCCTCGTCGTCGTCATCCTCTGTGTTGATCTCGCCCTCCAGCACGTCCTCCAGGAAGTCCTCCAGCTCCTCAGCAGAAGGCAGGTCCTCCTCATCGTCCATCTCCATCCATATGCTGTCCGCCTAGGAGTGGCACAGGCCGGGGGCCGAAGCTGAGCCAGCCCAGCCTCTGGAGCTGTCCTCCAGCCCGCTGGACCTGTACAGCCTCTCCTACCTCCTCTGACCCTTTCTTTCATCTGTCAGTGGCCAGGGAAACTGTCCAGGTGAAGGGCCAAGCTAGAACATGGCCGTGGGGGTGGAAAGAAAGGCTGGACTGGGGCCGGCAGGCAGTGTGGTGGGTAAGGTGCTGGACTCCCACATGACCAACTGCGGTTCAAATCTTGGACCTGACTTGCTTTTTCACTTTCCCTCTCTCTCTCTCTGGTCAAATTGAAGAAAAATAAAAGTTAAATAAATAATTGTTTTAAAAAAAAGAAAGAAAGAAAGGCTGGACTAGCAAATAGACCTTTTCCCTTCAATCTGTCTCCCATCCTTGTCCCTTCCTGAGCTTCCTAAAACAGACCTCCTGATCACGCCTGTGATGCAAAGCTTACTAGTCAGCAACTCCACAGCGTTCAAGCCTTTCCATAACCTGCTTTTCCAGTACCATCCTCAGTGATCTCTGGACTCTCAAGCCATTAAAGAAGACCTGCCTTTTCCCAGACCTGATATTCATGTTCCTACTCTTGACCTTTGACTCTTCTTTTTTCCTCAGTTTGGAAATGACTTCCCTTAATTGTCGTTTGTTGAAATTCTGTATGTTGTACAAACTTTATTTATGTATTTACTTATTTATTTATTTTTAGGTTTTGCCATAGGGCATGTGTGCTTGCCCGAGACAGAGCGAGAGACAGTGAGAAATCACCCCCCAGTGGGAGTAGCCGCAGCACAATTGCTTCTCCTCCATCCTCCTTTTGGGATTTGGGGCATACATGCACATGTACCCAGTATGACTTTCAAGTGATCAGATCTGGGACTCCAACCATGGTCAGCCATGTGGGGATCCAGCCTTTAACCGCCGTGCCACCTGCTGGCCCCCTATTTGTTTGTGATTGCCAGAGGATGCATGCATTTGCCGGGTAAGGGGAGAAAGCATCCCCAGTGGGGTGTGGTCATGCCATAATCCCTTCTCCTCCATTTCTCCGTGCTGTGAGGATTCGGGGCTCACATACACATGCATCTGACGTGTCTTTCCTCAGTTGGCCATGTGGTAGTCACATCCCTTAACCATTAGGCTACAAGGCCACCCTCTGCAAGTGTCATTTTAAATGCCACTTTTTCTTAAACTCTTCTCGGACCCTTTCAAGCATATATCACGTTGATTTCGTGCCTTCCTGGCATTTTATTTGTACCAGGAGACTTAAAAAAAAAAGTTCATGGGAAAATGGAATTAAGTACAAGTTTACTTTGGTATAAAACATTTTGAACCCCATGCATACTCATTTTCCATGACATTTTGAAGACCCCCTGTATCTGTAGGAGAAAGTGTATCAGAGCCAGTCTTGTAGTCTGACTGTCTTGCTCAGTCAGACTGAAAGTTCTATGGAAGCAAGAATAGTAGGTAGCTTGTTTGGGTCAACCCAACAAACATTTTTTTTTTTTTGGAGAGATTTTCACTGTAGGGCGCGTGCGCTCACCAGACAGACAGAGAGAGACATAGAG